CAAGCCATTCATCGGAGCAAAAAGTTCCTTCGAGAGAAAAAAAGCTGTCGATTCCCAGTCGACGAAACTGAAAAGCTATAAAACAAATGTAAGTAATAAAAAAACATTTAGCACAACACAAAACGCAGTGGAAAGACGTTTGGGGCAGAGGAAAAAGGTTATATATAAATATATATATATAAATGAAGGATAATACTCCACATTGGTTGCAGGAATAGAGAGAGAGAGAGAGAGAGTGAATGCTTTGGTCGGTTTGCTGAATGGAAATATTATTGGGGCATCCTTTCACGCGGAGCGGACGTCGGCGGAAGCAAGAAGACCTCATCTGGCTCTCCCTATTGAATCGAGCGTTCCCGCGCGCGCATGTGTGTGCGAGTGTATAGGTTCTCTTACATTTCATGATTTATCACGCAGCTTGAAAGCTCGAGCAGCAGCAATAGTGGAAGCTCAAAGCTCTCGTGTCGCTGAAAGCGCGCAGATTGATAAAAGAAATAATAGGACGGATGCGAAATAGCGCTCGGCAAGCTCTTGCTACGATCTGATATCGAGCTGCAGACACGCCGACGGCTATGAGCATCGGTTCCGTTGTCTCTGGTCTCGATTGCTCGAGCAAAGACGTTTTAGCTTGGCTGCCGCACGCAAAAGCCAAAGACCGTCAACGGAAAGGATCGTTTTGCTGTATACCTGCTCGCCAAGGCCCTCGATCGACACGAGAGTCTTCGCGGAGGCCCTTGGCTTGTAAAAGAGGAAGTTTCCGTCGCGTCGAAGGCAAAATTCACTTTCTAAGCTACTAAATTTTTCTACTTAATTTAATCTTCATTTTGTATGCAGCTTTCTAAGCCAGTAAAGCGGTCTTTTTGCCTTAACCTTCTCGTACCGGCCAACTTCGTAGATAAATCGACAGCGGTGTATTTACTGAAAAAATGACAACGCTTATCGTAACCGTGCACTTCTGTTGTAAAATGGACTTTTCAATTTTTACGACATGGAATTGATATATTCCCTTACAAAGGAGAGTGTCATTGATTATTTATTTAAAATATAACAAACAAAAGTTCTTTTGACTTGTAGTCAACATTTTGCTTTAATTGGAAAAAAAAATCACTCGAATAAGTTAGAAACAAAAGCGAATGAAGTAGGTTGCATTTTGAAGACTATAATAAATTATTTCGCGTCTCATTATTGCATAAAATGCTACATTCTCATATCAAATACGCACAATTAGCGTTTCGGTTCCAGTTTTATCACATTAAAAATTAAACAATTACGAAGGTTTATTGAAACGTTCAATTGAAACATTCTACTAACTAAGAAAACTGTTATCTGCGAGTTAATGACAATGTTTAAGCTATCAACCGTTGATAAGGAGCACATTGTGACAAATTTACAATTGATCAATTTAAAAAAATGATAGCATCAAACCAAAACATGTGTCAACTGGAAAACCGCATACCGCCACCTACAACATAAAAGGAGAGAAAGCCAAAAAAACCAACACCGTTGTCCATTACCCTTGCAAAAAATAGACCTACAAAGCTGCACGCGAGCGCACAACTGAACTAAAAGCGTAAAAAAAGAATAGAAGGAGAAGAACGAAGAAAGCCATCAATCCGGCACGCGGCGTCGCTATAACTTTAATCAGGGCTGAATAAAGTCACAACCCCTTGGCTGTGCCTCTGCTGCTAGCTACACGCAGGGGAGCACACAGAGAGCAGAATGGAGATGAGGATGTAGCGGCCGTGAGTATCGGCATTGTTTCCAAACAAAGCAGCCTGACGCGCAAAGAATCCCGGTAGCAGAGCGGAGCATTGTGTGCTTGCTGCTGCGCGCGCACTACTACCAGCAGCCTCGGGGCCAACCGCGAAGCTTTTTCGACAAGCTCTTTCAAATTCGCGAGCATTGTCCGCCAGAGCCACCCTCCCCGGCCCTCCCCGCTCATCCCCGAGTCAATTTCCGTGCTTTGTGGCCTTTGCGAAAACTCGTCTTAAGGAGATCGACTATATAAGTTCGCGAGTGTTCGATCATCTGTTTTTACGATTGATGCTGCTTGGGATTTCGAGTACGCACTTGACTTTTTTGGTTTGGTTTCCTAACGTCACCCGTAGTTATATTGTCGATTAATCGCACCTTTTATGAGTATAGCGCATATAGATTTCCGTTAAACCAAAAGTTTCAATCAAAACTGAGAATAAACAAATTAAATTTTTCGTTAATCATGCTGCACGAAATCTACAAAAGCCATCAGCTGTGCTGAAGAATACTCAAATAAAATTAGTTGTGAATGAGATTAAAGGTTGACAATGTTTTATCAATCGAGAGAATTCGTAGGCATGCTAATAAAATTCACCGGTCGGAGTCTTTATGATGACCGACCAAATACAGAATGCTATGCGACAACATCGTAAACCGATATATCAAGAACTTACTACTAAGACAAAATGACTCAGCGTAGCTTCACTGTAAGATCTATAGCTTTCACAAAAAGCATTTTCCAATTGTCATATTGTAAATTTTTAGAATGTTATTATTCCTATTTATTATTATTAGTTACTATATATTTTATTTTAAAATTTAGCTAATGATTTGTGAGTTGAATTCGAAAATATAATTACGATAGAATGATAACAAATATGATTTACTACAATTTATACAATGAATGCAATAAAAAATTACGCTGCTATGTGACAACACTATCGACAATAACAGCAGTATCATTATTTTTACAACGATTAATGACAGAAACAATATACAGTCCAGTAATATCATGTATTAATAATAAGTGAACTAGTGCAGAGCCTTGCTGTTTAACAATTCCCGTATATAGTTTTATCGCGATTTTTAAACAGTATACGAAAAATCCGATAATAGCGCAACAAACGTGAATAATCATGTTCCATTTAAGAAAGAAGAATACCGTATACCAAGTTGAAACGTTTGACTACAATTAAAAAACTATATACTACATATACTGCGAACTAATTTTTTCATAAAATATTCCATAATAAAAACTAAATTTTTCATTTAAAAAAAGTTACTTTGATAAGGTTTAGCCTTGAAAAAGGATTACATTACCGAATAAACGATATAAATTGTGGAATCAGGAGAATAAAGGTACTACAAATAAATTTCACCTTATTTGATCATTAGTTCCTTTGGACCAATTACAGAATTTATGTTTGAAATTTAATTTTCAGAATTTTTTTAAAACAAAATCTTGCACTAGATAACCTGAAATGGATTCATCGTACTTTTCTTAAAATAATTTGCCAATTTATATCGTTGCTCCGACATTGCGATGGATACTCGAAATGAAATCTTGGAGCCAAGAGCACACATGTATATAATTTATTATTCATATGTCTAAACAGAATAAAATTGGCAAGAACAGATTGCCATCAGTCTATGAAGATCAAGAAAAGAACAATCAGAAATGGACTGAAAATCAATATCGAGGAGCGGGCATGCATTTTTAAATAGATTAGTGCCCAATAAATGTAAATTATTTAATCATAAATGACTGTTAGCTATGAGTAGGTATTGTAATTATTTTGTAAAATGTGTGTAAATAACTATGTCATTGTCGATATTCATATAAAAATATCATAAAGAAATTTATTTTTAACTTCTTTCTGAAAAATAATAATTTAAATTGAAGGAACAAAGAGCGGACAACTCCCTCAACAAGATTTCGTCGTACAATTTTTACTGAAAATGTTATTTATTTCGAAATTCTAATTTGCTTAGACTTTTCTATAAGCGTGTATATTTTTTGGTCATAGCTGAATTTCTACAATTCTGATAAAAAGTACCTACTGCACTGCCAAGTTGAATGAGCAGGTGACATGTTTAAGTTGAACTGCTACTGACACTGACCTTAATAAAAGGAATTTCCAAGTTGGAGCTCATACGCGCTCAGTCTAAGTCGCGCATTTCGCTAAAACTGCTGTCCGTCGAACAACTTAAATCGTGAAACGCACGCTTTTCCGAGTCACACCTATAGTATAATAGCTCCATGATGCTGGACACCCTCGCGCTGTATAAATGGACACCTATTTATCTCAATTTTAGCTATGTCTAACGTACGAATATTTAGAACCCCGTCAATGCTATTAATTATGGGTCACTCGAGATAGATCCGTGCAATAGCTTTCTATCGATACTTGTTGGATTATTACTTGTTTGCTTCAAGATTGCAATCAATTTATAACGATCGTGGTATTTATAAGAAAGCAGCATTATCGGCTTACTTACAGTTTGAAAACGTACATATCTTCTATCTTTCTTTTCATTTATCTACCAATTAAGTTCTGTATAGGGCCTTTCTTCTCCCTCTTCCACCTCCTAACAGCAACATTTTAAGCATTAGGGTCTACATCATAATTACATACGCATGGCGAGGTATCGGATTATGTTTTCCTAAAACCGATTTTCTATGAAAAAAGTTTTGAAACTTATCTTAAACTAAATAACTCTTCATTTGTGATCTTTCAAACTATGCGATGTATTTTTAGTGGAAATTTTGATGATTTATTAATACCGTTAATACCGTTGTTTATTTAGTTGATGATTATAGTGAATCAAAATTATGAAAGTATCTGCATAAAAAGAAAGCCAGTTATACCTAATAAATTAAAAACATTGGAAAATAGAAATTGTAAAACGGAACAAAAATTTTGACATTCAATAAATTGTGAAAGACGAGTCCTCATTAGAAATTGAAAAGCAAGGTAAACGAAATAACATTCAAAGTAGAATATTAAATAAGTAAAATTATTGGTTACATTTTATTAAAGTTAATTGCATTTTTCTTTTAAATCACCTTTATCTTTTCAAATCACTATAGGCATAACGATTATTAAATACGAGATATATATATTTTGTTATTTAAATTTACAGTCGTTATATTATATACTATATAGTGACAGTTTTATTGTAAAATGATGTTATATATAATTTCACAAATCATAAACACTTTCAAATATGATTGCAATATATTTATTCGAACAAATTCGAAATAGATAATTAATATTTCTTATTGAAATAAACTACGATATTCATCATACGCTTTCAAAAAGTTAATCCGTAAAATTTTGTCACTGCTACGGCAGCTCATACATTCCGACTTAAATTTCATTTTAAAAAATTATCTCAACGCTTTTTTTACAGTAAAATATTTTTTAGTCAATATTAAACAGTTTGCAGATATCATTTAATAGTATCACTCAACAATTACATACAACGTATGTAAATATTTTAAAAATTACTGCATACAAGTCAATATCAAATCTAGTCATCAAGCAAACATATACAAATCTTCATAATTTAAATATCCAACAATTTTATTAATTATACAGTACTTCAAATGAAAGCGTTCTGTGGATATAGCTATAATTTCAGCAGCTTTGTTGCGCAGTATTACTATTTCCATCGCCTGTTCAAATCTCTTCTTTAAAGTCGACACATAATACCAATGAAAACGTCTTACAGCATTACTCTGTAATAATACAGCAATATTCTTCTTATCATTCACGAAATATGCAATTTTTTCGGAATCGACGGTTAGTACCGTAAAAAGTGTAACGTTGGGGCAAATCTCATATTGTCTCATTCTGTCCAATTGCTTGCAATAAGTCTCGTAACAAATTTTGAGGTGTCTAAACATATTGATTTTCTGTTGAATTTTTGGTAAAATCGGCTGTCCCAGCCTTTCTAAAATTGCCAAGTGTGCAAGCACAGGTTCCAGGATAGTAAAATCGCCATTTACAAGCGCCCAATCGACAATAGTCTGATTGTACTTGCTAACAATTTGAATTTCAGCGCCATATTGCAATAAAAGCTCCACACACTTCTTATCGTTGGCTTCTAGCTTCTTCGGGCTGAGAGCTTCGAACAATGGGACCCAGCCATCGTCGTCAGTGATATTCGGATCGGCATTCATGTCGAGAAGCTGCTGTACATTGCCAACTACACGATTTTTCACGGCGAGCTTGAGCGGCGTATTACCGAATTTACCACGGCAATTGACGTTGAACGATCGTTGCTGAAGAAGCTCGATCGCATCTACACGACGATTGGCGAAGATATGCGCCAAAAGTTCACGTCCGCGAAATACGCTTCGAACGTGACAATCAACGTTACTTTCCAAAAGAATTACCACAGCATCTTTTGTTCCATTCTCGATGATAAATTCGAGAAAAAACATGTGTTGCTCATCGAGCGCATGCCAATCGCTTACTCTATTGAGAAGACTGTTAATGATCTCTAAACCTTTCTTCGTCGGTTTCTTCACTGCTACATTGGCAAAAAACTCGAATAACGCTATTTTACGAAGGCTCACCTCACCAACATGTTCCAGCAGTACTTTCGCGTTATCCAAATCTATACTCTTTATAGCAAGATACAATGCAGCTGACAAACCATTGTCATCGACAGTAAGTCCGCGCTCAAGCATAATCTTTGTGACTCGAGCAGCGCCCATCTGCACAACAAGATCCAGACGACACCCAGCATTCATAAGCTTGTCCGCCATCTCGTAATAATTGTTGCTTCCAGTTTTCACTCTCTCCAAACAGCGGTTCACAATGCCTTCTGGAACTTTTTTGTTGACGTTGAAAAACAGCTGCAGCGGGCTTCTGCCTACGTCATTAACGGCGCAGACGTCGGCATTGGCATCGAGTAACGCTGCCGCCGATTTGAAGCTATTGTACATCGCCGATTCTAGCAAAGGTGTTGCACCACTGTTATCTCTAGCGCCGATTTCACTGCCACGCTTGATGAGATACTTCGTTAGCAAATGGTTATTGTACTTTGCTGATAAATGTAATAATGACGTTCCTGTACTGTCAATTAGCTCGTTTGGATCTGATTTTCCGATTAGTGATTTTATTTCGATGTTACGATTCTGCTCGAGCAACTTTTTTAATTTATCGCTAAAATACTTTTTGTCATCTTTGATTGTAAACTGAAATTAATTGTAAGTTTATACGGATAGGTAATTACATGCAGCTATGAATTTTTTGCCTGGAATCAAGTTTTGTTTTAAATAACAAAATATTATGCTGGATAACAAATTGTAAGATTGTAAAATCTTTCGTTCAATTAAGAGAAACTATATGCAAATTTTATGCGAATTTTTATACTGACCGTCGATAAGAATGATGTTCTTTTTAAATATGTAACTTTTTAATCAACGATTGTTAAATCAAAAATCAAGTAAAAATATATGCTCACCATTTTCAAAGATTTTTCAATACACAAGGAGACAGAGTGAAACAGAGTGATGTGCCATTGGCAAGAATTCGAGCAATACTAAATACTCGATTTGCAATGATACTCTGGCTAAGTATTGCACACCTACTACCCCTAGTTGGTAACATAAATCGTATTAATAATAAGCAGCCCGGCTCGAAGAGATCACAACAGAAGACAAGACTCATTTTAGGTACACTCATTTTAAAAACTATCTTTCAGTTAACATTTTCGTTCAGCGCGTACACAGACGTGTACAGTCCGGTGAAAAGATCATCAGATCTGCGAGTGAGATCCACACTGTCAGTTCGAATAGTACTATTGTACATTTATTTTAGAAGAACAGACCGTGGCTTATGGCAACCTTTTATATTGTAAATATTTGCGTAAATTATTTTTTCATTTCGCATTAATACACTTTGCAGTTGGAACATTCCACATCACAGAAATACATCGTTATTTATTGTTTTTTCAAATAAATATTTACCACATTTATTTTGCGTTACGGTGAAAAATTCCTTTCTTTTTTCTGGGTAGCAACATATATAAATATTTGGTCTAAATAAAATACACAGCAAATGTTTTAATAATTGTACTGAAAATCGTTTTTCTACAAGACATTACTTTTTTCCTAATACAATATGATCGTGAAAACATTAACGTCGCAATGTCTGTTATGTTTCATCAAATCATTACTAAAAATAAATTTTATCTCATTATTAAAAGGTTTTCTATTATTGATCATTGAATAACCATAAGATAAATTTAAATACTTCTAAAACTTCCATACTGTCTTACAAAGTACACAACAATAGTTACAAGTCATAAAATAAATAAATTAATATTAAGAAATACAGCATGAACAAATGTTTTATATTATGCATCTGCAAAAAAAAAGAACTAGGCAAACATCAGCAGATCTTTGTAAGTTAAATAACTTAATATTTCTGTTGCAATTGTATGTTTATTATTAAAAACTGGAATAGTTTCATTCAAAACTAAAATAACTTTACTTTTCAAAGAAATTATTTCCAAGGTCAAGTGAAAAAATTCATTCATTTTCAATCTGTAAAAAGCATTCCATTCAAAGGAATAAACATTTTGTCTAAGAGACTCAATAATCTGCGGATATGGAATATGTAGAGCAAATTTTTCATTATCTTCAGCAATTACTGTAAAAAGTGTGACAGACCCATAAATTAGAAACTTTTTCAAAGCCTCCAACTGTACACAGCAGTTATAATAATAAGCTTTAATCTGATGATGAAAATCTATAAAAGGGCTAAGCTGCTTTTTGATGAGTTTTCCATTAACTTGTAAAATTGCAATATGACACAGTATTGGTTCAAGCATACTCATGTCATTGTTTCTGACAACCCAATCGATCAATGACTCTCCTGATATCTCTACAGTCTGTGGATCAGCTCCATATTTCAACAGTAATTCAATGCAGACTCTTCTAGCTTCAATCTGTCCAATATGTAATATCATGCTCAATGGTTGAGCACCAACATTGTCTCTTGCATTTGGATCTGCTCCCCAACTCAGAAGTAATTTAACATCATCAACAGCAGCACATTTTACAGCTAAGTGTAGGGCAGTTAGACCTTTTTCTCCACGTGAATGGACATTGAAAATTCTTCTTTTAAACAAATCTTTGATCCCTGGATTACAGTTTGAGAAAAGGTGAACAAATAGATCTCGACCTGGAAACTGTTCCCTCACAATGACATCAACATTGAATTCCATTAAAATATCTAAAGCTGGTTTTGGTGCTTTTCCAAAAATCCCTTCTAAGAAAAACAGATAACTTTCTTCCAATTCATGCCAATTCCTCACTCTCACCAAAAAGATTACAAGAAGTTCGTAGTCTATGTCATTACCATTCTTGAATATATGATTCAAGAATTGTAGGGAGTCAGGATTTTTTACATCAATGTAAGTTCCCCATTGTAATAATACTTTGGCATGGGGTTCATCTTTTAATCTCAAAGCAATATCCAAAGCTGCTTGAGTTTGCATGGGATCAATTTGATTGGCTGAATGCAAAATCATATGTAAGACTACTGGATTATTTAGATAAATGAGCCATTTAATAGGACAATCTACTTGCATGAGTTTATTGGCTAATTCTTGATTGCTTCTACTGATATTCATAATTCTTTCAAAACATTTGTCGATTATATATCTAGGTGATTTTTTATTATTCAAAATTACCTGTAAAACAGTTTTATTGGCAAGATTCATTGCATATATGTCTGTATTTTGATTAAGTAAGAATTCAGCTGTTTTAAAACTGCTTGCATTAGCAGCCATCATCAACGGTGTCAAGCCATGCTTGCTTTTGATGTCAACCTTAAAACCTGAATTGAGAAGAACCTTAGTTATTTCTAAATTATTATATCTAGCTGATAAATGCAATAAAGTTATCCCATGGTCATCAATAAGATTTGTCAAGCTGCTCTCATTGAGTAATGATACTATTACTGAATTTTTTCCTTGCTTTATAAGTGCTTTGAAGTCATTACTAAAAACTTTTTTGCCTCCTCTTATGCTAAACTATTGAAAAATGAAATTTTGAATAAGTTTCTTTAAAAATTCATAAGATTCACAGTAAATTACCCTTACCATATTGAAGTGATGAATAACAAGGCAATCGTAATGAAGGTAGCAAAATTTTTTTGCACAAAATGTTCAAAAATTTGTTGATGAGAAATATATTGCCAGGACTATTTGCAATTTCTTAAGTTCCTTATTATTGCTTTTCAGATTTGAATTTTCCAATAATTACTCCGAGTTAAACTATTACAGAACCAAAGCAGTACATAATTATTGCAATTAATAAATTATATCAAACTATCAAAGTGTAAAGGAGCACACTCATTGAAAAAATAGGATAAATTAAAAATAATTGTTTGCAAATTCAAAGAACATAAATGAAATAAAATTTATTTTCAAAATTTGATTAAATATATAAGCACAGAAGTACAAAAACAATATCAAAATCATGGAATACACTCAAACTTTATGTAGTTGTCAATCACACTTTAGTCATATTATATTTTGTCAATAAACGAAATATTCAAGGTTTTTTAAAGTAATAAAAAAATCTCTTTTTACTCACCACGTTCTCACCGAGCTACGGATTGATAACTGATAAGCTCACAAAGCGAATTGGGGATGTACCCTTGCAAAATATTTTCAATTAAATCTTTGCATTTTACTTCTTCCAATACACATAACAATAAAAACACCAAATTCTATCTCAAATATATATCTACACAAATCTCAGATACTAGCTTGTAAGTCACTCCGTGTAAAACGAAAAATTTAATTTGAACAAAGCCAATTTTATCTTCGATGCACAGGTTATTCAATAAGCCTTATAAAAAGCACTTTCTAATAAATAAATAACCCTTATGAATAGTAAATCGATCGCAATTTTATAAAATACAACTTATAGTCATCGATCTCATAAAAAACATGTTGCGACTTGCACTTCGACAAGGAGTGGCACAACTGATCGTTGCCACAAATTCGCGCCACGCGTGATGTTATTTTTTAGAAACCGTAGACAACTGACCTTCCAAGAAATCTGTCGAGTTTCACATGTCATAGCTATCGTATAATGTTTTTACCAGAAAATCCTTTGCGATGACAATGAATTACATCTTTCAAAATTCAGTTGTTATTCGATATTTTATTATCGCCTTTGATGTAAATCATTGTACACTTGTTTAAAAGCTCGAATTTCAGTTTATAAAGAAAAATATCTATTCAAATATTACGTATCCGCCTAACGTCACAGTATCAAGAAATATCATCCTTTCTTTTTGAAAGAGAAAAATTCTTTTTTCTTGTCAATAAAAAAGAATAATCATCAATATTTTTCAATCAGAAATCTGCTCTTTCTTACATACCGAAAAAATTTTTGCTTTACTCCGTGTATGTTCTATATCCTTGGCTACATATATCTTTACTTCGTCTGTCGAGCGATCGTCTACATGAGGGCGCGAGGGGATAAAGCCCCGGCCGGTATGTGCGGGATGATGCGCCGAGTTACGCTGCTACATGCGCGCGTGCATTGTGTACATGTACCTGCAGACGAGCGCTGCATTGTTGCCATTGCACGTGAATGGATAAAGGTTCTTCGAGCGACGAAAGGGATAACTATGGGATATTTAAATTTTGACATTTTGAATTTATGGGGTAACTAATACTATATTGATCTAATTATATTACTTGAATATTTTAGTTTTGCTGTATAATCTGTCCGAAGTTCAGAAAAGGCACTCTATATGAAAATAACATTTAGAAAAAAAGAAGTTTTTTTTTTAATGTTTTTAAGGGTTGGGTTTGAAATAAAAATTTTAAACGATTTAACTTTCATTATTTCAATCCCATCAAAACTAAAATTCAAATTCTAACAATAAATCCCCATTAATATCGAATCAATCGAATCTCATCAAATAAATTACAATACTGTTAAAACACATCCACGGATTCTTCGTGCAATAAAAAAACAACAATGAACACATCGCACGTAACAATGAGGACGAACAAGAGGGGCTTTCAATAATAATCGAAAATCACGCAAGCACGCACACACACGGCGTCCATTGAGCGCGCGAGTGACGAGACAAAAGCAAAGAGTGACTCTTCAGAAAGCGCTGTTGCAGTGTGTGCGTGTGTGTGTGTTATATATTCTAGTCGGACGAACTGTCATCTCGTCAGAGAAAGAGGAGCAGAGAGAAGCGAACCCGTTAAAAGTTGCCAACTTTCGCCTGATGTAGAATGGAACAACCGCCGTGCAGGGGCTGCCGCCGCTGAAAGGGTGCACGTTCAATGTAAAGGAATCGCTGCTGCTGCGTACTCTCAATGGCAAAAAGAGATGCCAGAGCTTTTGCCTTGTGCAAGAAATAACTTGCCAAATGAATATAACCATTAATAGATCTTTTTAATGTTGTGGGATTTCCATTTTGTCAAATGATTTTCGTGTTCTTTTTACATTGTAAGTTTACAGCCTTGTAAAAATGAAACTTATCTTGAAATATTAAAAATATGTTTAAAATGAAAATTTTTTTTTAGATTATTTGGATTACGCATTCATTTAAATAAGATACCATTCTTTATCGACACATCAAAAAGCAAAATACTAAAACGAAAACTATAATCTTCCCTTCACGAAATCTCAATTTGCATTGAAAACTTGGAAAAGAGGTGGCACCCTCGTAAAAAAAGAAAGAATAGAAAAACAACAAAAAAGTGAGCACAACTAAAAGCATAAAAATATCCCAATATAGCAGAAAAAGCTCGACAAGAAAGCAAACAAAAGCGGTATGCAGAAGGAATAACAAAGCAAGACAGCGCGCAAGCTTTTCACCAAATTGGCGCATGTTAACAAAAAAAGCCAATTCGCCCACACACGCACGCAGTAAATGTACATCGAAAGCAAGTACGAATAATTCGTGTGAGCGAGTTGCTTTTGTTCACTTTGCTCTCTATCTCGCAAGCTTCAATTCGAGTAGGAAATATACTCGATCGTCGTCGCGATGGGGCTTCCCTAATTACCACCAAGGCAAAGTCCATTCAACGAACATTTGGCGCTGGCATTATGCGAAATTCACGCCACTGGCCGAGAGTTACGAAGTTGCCTGGGGGCAGTATTGAAAATTTCGGAGTTGTCTGCGGCCGCGTGAAAGCGACGAAAATTCACGAGCTATTGGCGCGTGCGATTCGATGCGACAGGACTGTTGCTCGTATAGTGAGTTTTCTCGGTTATAATGGTCCATTAATTTGAGGTTTAGAGAACTTATTGCCCGTACAATCATGCTCGAGATCTTTAGAATAATTGACAAATCTAAAGTTTGCATCGACATGTGAAATAATATTTTTTTAAGTATTTAAAAATTATTTTTAATAAAATACGAAAAAGAGCTTTCGAAGGATTCTGGGCATTTTTTATAGTGACATGCTATTCACTAAATAACTACTTTTAAAACATTAAATACTCCTTTGAAAGAGTTATAATAAATAACAATTTTTCAGAAAATGAATCCACCTGGCGGCAAATTGCGTTACGAATAATACTTAAAATAACATTATTAATCTATAAAATCATGTGCAAAAGTTAGAATGTACTCGTATTATTATTTCTTCTACAATGGTTTTGATCAATAATTCTACACAATAAAAAAATTAAAAATATGAAAAATACAGTCAACTGACATTGACAAGACCAGATTTACTGCACAATTGAAAAGAAATCAAAGCATCGACACGTATATTCTTTAACCTACAATAATTTAAATCAAATACACAAATGCAAAAAACAAAAAGCCTCAAACTTGATCAAAAATCGAATCATTGCTTCCACCCTTTCTATAAAACGCATCTGTCCTAGCAGCAGAAAAGGAGCGGAAGAGCTCGGGTGTCGGGGCGAGAAAAGAGAGCGAGTGAGCACTATGGGGAAGGGGAAGATCGGATAAGTGGGCGAAATTGCAAAACAGTGAGGTGAAGCGAACAAGCGAGGTGGGTTAACAATATGAGGGACAATAGGCCTGATAATGCACCCGGAGAATGGACGCCTAGACAAAAGAGATAGTGCTCACACTCTTGCGCACGCGATGATGTATCGTCTGTATACGTGTGTATATGTGGATATGTGCACCTGGCCGATCGAATCACCGCGTGAAGACGAGAGTGGGATACGTGCATCCGCGTTTGTAGGTATGCTACAGGGGTAAGACGTGGTGATGATTGTTTACGACTGCTTGTGCAGTCTATGCGTTGTTTCGAAGTTTAATAATTAGACGATTAGCTGCTATTAATTGCCAAATTTCTTTTTTCATTATATGACATGGCTATTAATGATTTTTTTAAATTATATTTTTGGATTGAACAAATAGGGTTCTATCATAGGAATGAATAATAATAATTATAATAGCAATTCCCGCTCTAAATCTAGACGAATTCATACTCGTAATAAGACTTTATTTTTATCATTATTCCATCTATCTGCAGAATTAGGATATTTACTCTAAATTTGATTCAAATCGTGTACAATTTAATACATGTGTTTTCATCGACTGAATTTAATTCAATTGGACTCGACTTATGGATTCTTTCGAAAATTGTAAGTACATTAACATTAATTGTGAATTGTGAGAGTAATAATTGTACCAGCTTGATTTATTTTATCCGAAAACCAATTAACACGTAAATAAAGGAGTTATTTCTGAATACATTATAAATATGTGAAAAATGTAACGGAAGATTCCAATAATTTGTTTGTGCAATTGAGAATTCATTATTTTAAGAATGCATTCTATGAAAATGGTAGACAAAATGTTCGACCGTAAAAACGAAACAGCAAGAATAAAGTCCTAAATTCTAGAACAAGTCTAGCTTGAAATTTGAAAACTAGTCTTGCACAAGTGAAAAGTGCTCTCGTCTGCTCTACCTGGCATACAGCAGCAGCAGCAACATCAGCATTGTGTGCTCGCTTGGCATTCAGCTCTGGCGGAATGAATGGAAAAGCGACACAGAACGCGAGAGAGTCTCAGATATGTAAGACACAAGAAAGCATATAAAAGAGTTGCCATTATACGCGAAGCTTAAATAACAGCGCTTTGCTCGGCGGCTGCTGCCACTTCTCACTTCTTCTTTTTCTTCTAGCGAGCTTCTTTTTTTCGCGCTCTCCTTTTCTTTCAAACTCTCCAAGAGCTTTTCTTTATTTTACCTTATTACGCACGAACGCGAGGTCACGTGAGCAAGCACTGCGAGCCTACAATTAATGACGGATTCTCCCTTTTTTTTTCTTGTCTTTATGTTTTCACGAAGAAAAGTGCGAGAGGTCTTTGCGTACCCAAGTCATAGTAGCACTGTTTTCACAGTTTTTCTTTACAGCCTCTCTGAGGATCTTTTTATCGCGCGTGCTTGGGTCGTTAGGTCGTTGCATGAAAAGTAGCTAATTACAATTTGTATGCCCTTGTGTATACTTGATGTGATTTAAAGGGCTTCAACGAGCCAAACAGTTGAAATGATATTTATTCAAGTTTATAATGTGTTCCTATTATATCTATATTGTAATCTCATAAATAATTAATCTAATAAGTAATAAACTGATACAAAAGTTTCTCTTATTTTAACTAACTTTTAACTTGCATAATTGTTACGAAACTCGAATGAGTCTTCCGAATTAATGGAATTATGAAAATAAATTTATCAAATAGATTTTCGATAATTGACTTAAGACATCTGCAAGCAATAATATTAATTACAATGATATCTGTCAATGCAATTATGAGCATCGCATTTTTTGAGAGTAATCTAAATTTCAAAATTAAAATGCCTACTTTGCAACTATATATAAATTATATTGTTAAAGCAAATTAGAGTAATCTGCATACTAAAATTCAATGACTAGATATTATACCAAAACAAAATAAAAATTAATGTAGATCCACCGTCATAGGAACAATTACATTTTCAAAATAAAGCTTCTCCTTCAATGAAACAAAAGCAAGTCCTATACCAAAAAAAAATCATCGTACAAGCAATTACCACAACATTAAAAACCTTGAGCACGAGAGAAAGTTTCGCAAGAAGATTTCAACGAAAGAGAGGAAGAAGAGAGAGAGAGAGAGAGAGAAGAGAGAGAGAGAGAGAGAGAGAGAGAGAGAGAGAGAGAAAGAGAAAGCGCGAAAAAAACTGATAAGGACAAAGCGCACGCCAGAGAGAAAAAAACAGCTTGATAAAGCGATAGAGCTTGCTCGGGTAGGTAGCAGGGAGGAAAGCTTGCAAGGAAGAAAAGTCGCGCGGTCGAGAGTATAGGTGCATTGCGCGCACATACAACACGAGAGAGCACAAAGCGAGCGAGCGCGAATCGGCCCCACTCATCCAGTCCGTCTCATTGTGTCGGACGATTGTCTTAGAATAATGGCGGCGACTCACAATAGTGACTACAATGCTCGCCCGTCTAACAATGCTTCCCCTGACGTCACGAGCCTCTATGTGAATGTGCTCAAATCGTCTCTCTTTTCTTCTCCCTCCTGCTCTTCCTACTCGCGTCTCCCCCCCACCCCTCTCTGTACCTCTTTCCTTTTTTTATTATTCGACGGCCCCCGAATTTTCGCTTTCACGACTTGCCAGAGAGATTTATTAACGCAGGATTACAGGATTAGCTATAAAGTCAGGTGTGTAGTGACAGGTTCGTTTCAATACGACACGTGCACTTTGTTTCGAACTATACCATAGTTTGTCTTGCACTGCGTTCTGTAGATATACGTTGCAAGGTTTCGATATAGTGTGATTTGAAAATCAATACGATAAACTGTTACAATACGATTAAATGTCATTATACAGTATTCATTTTTTTTATAAAACCTGACATTGAAATTTAAAAAATGATAATAAGTTGAGGCTCACTCGTTATCTCTCTCTCTCTCTCTCTCTCTTCCTTGTTTACTATGTATAATAATATTAACATCAATAATATTCACATGTACATACCTATTTTCTTAGTCTTATTCTCCGTACAATCCGCCACAACATCAAGGTAATTGAGAGACAGAACGTGCACATCCGAAACACAGTAGGAATAAAAAAGTACGGATAGCCAAGTTGAACTAGAGAAGGATAGGGAGGGAGATGCCTCGTAAGTGGGGATATATGCGTGAGCGAACGAGTGTCGCGTGCGTAAATTTGGACACGCAGTGAAGGAAAGAGAGGGGGGTCTCTTCCACGTATTCGGCAATTAGCTGGTTGGCTTAGGGCTGCGCGCACATCCCCGTACACGGGGTTTTCCACGTATTCTTTCGTCGTAAACTCGTTATAAAATATAGAATAATTTGTATAGGTAATATCAAATACAATTCTATATCTTTGCAACGGAATTTCCTTTTCGTTATCATTCACATTTTCTGCCAGTAATTGTTTATGTATAAAAAATTGCGAAAAACATTACGTGTTCGCTGATTTTTCAACATAAATATATGTATATTCAATATATATTGAATAAGTAAAAGGTAAAAGTTGGAGGAAGTATTTAGAAAAATTAAAAAATATGAAAATAAATTTGTATCCACAACACTGGCATACATTTTTACACAAGGCAAACGCCAAAAATGAATTAATGAACTCGTTGAATCTATAGAATATTCCAAGGTTAAGGTGTTGATTATTTCGTAGCTATTATTATAACGCTAATAACTATTCATAAATTAATAAATTTACATGTTATTTTTTGAAAGTAAATGTATCATTGAAAAAATAATTAATATAAAGTAGACATATTTTTAAATAACGTATTTAATAGTAAAGTTTGTATATGACACTGGAATTAATAATAAAATTGAACATACTAACAGATTGAATTCTAGACAGTAGTGACATGGTATAAAAGTATCAGATCTTTAGGATTTCAACTCATCTGTAAATGTTACACTTGAATATCTTGTCAAAAAAAATCTGTTGAACATATAATCGTTCACCTGAAAAAAAATATTAAAAATCAATTTGTAATTTGAGATCTAAATAATATTGATACAATGTTTTATACATGTAGAATATCGCAAAGCTTTCACTACAAAATGTTTCTAATTGAAAAATTGATACTATTATTTATCTACTCTTTTTACACTTATAATTATTTAAGAGATCGAAAGTAATTAAAAATGATCTACTATTTATCAACAACATTTCATTATATAACGAACATTATTAATGAACCATAAAGATGATTCTCAAACATTTGTAATATTTCATATTTGCCCAGTTAAAAAATTAAAAATCACTTCGCTAAAGCTTGTTAATCTCGTACGTAAGACACGTTCGTCAAAAATTAAAAACAAAAATCGGGCAAATTATTTACTACAATTGATGCAATCCACGCTTAAAAAACCACACATAAGTCGCAATAAAAATGAAGTTCGTCAAGCACAAATGACGTATCGCCGTCGTCAAAAATGTCCTGTTCACTTCTCATTGTACCACTTTTTCTTCACTTTCTTCGACATCTTCTTTCTAAAATCCGCCAATATATCAGGACTCATCCATAGCTGTGGTTTGTCGTGATACTCGGCGACGAGGCGATGTTGCATTCGTCCGATAATTTTCGCAGACACATGATAATCATAGCTATCGTAAAATCTCGGACTCAAATATAAATGTTCATGTAGTGTCGTGTAATCTGGTGGCAAACTTTGTTTGGATTCGACGACGAATTGCCTGATGACGTCGTCGAACTTCTCACCCATCTCACGCAACGTACGCACGCGGTTCAACTTTTCCGCCTGCGTTGGCTCGTCAATGTCCTGAAAAATGTCCACGACTGTGATTTTTCGTCGACTCAGGGAGAGAAACAGAGCACGTGGAGGAATACAAACGGATAAAACGGAATCTACCGATGACATTGTTGCGCGTGACACGTCTGCTGGCGGCTTTACGACTGATTTCAGATATATACGTACGCCGAGACATATCCCCACTTTTATGGACTACGTCACGAGTTGCCCGGTCGTTTATCTATTTTTCCAAATTAATCTTTCCAAGCGCGCTCGAATTATGCATTCATACAGCAAAAAAATGTCCACGCGTAGCTTCATATCCTTGAGATTCAATCTCTCTTCACTTCCTATTGACAAAAAATGCTTTTTCAAATAGCTCATCGCGGCCGTGCGCGCAGTGATTCATAGATTTGGTCAGGTGTTAGTAGTTTGGTAAGTGTATATAAATGCGCGCGCGTGCGAGAGCGCGTATGGGATACACAAATAAACAGTCTGAACTCGCTCTTTCTCTCGTCAGCCGCTTAATGCCGCATCGCACGATATCTGTCAATTGAGTGCCGATAATGAACAATCAACGTGAGTTGGATACTTTGCATTTGCTATTTACATGTCTCGGTGTGGCGGCATTCTTCTTTTTCTTTCTTTATTACGTGCCCGTACGAACTATATGCTATGATTGCGCGTCATTACTTCAATTTTTTCAATTCATTACACTTCATAAACGTACTTCATAATATTTTTAAGCAATGTGATTTTCTCTATTTAAATTTTGCTCAACTTTTATGCATGCTCATTGACTGACTCATGGATCGATATTTATCTACTTATCAGAGTCATCATTTAGATCGACGTATTTCAAATCATACGAGATAAATCGTAATTTCCACGATTATTTCTTGACTGCAATATTGTCTTTAATTTAACTAGTTGCGCTACATAAAATTGATTTTTTACTAATCTAATAAAAAAATGTGTCATTATTAATTTATCAACTCAATAATTTCATTTCATTCAATGTAATTCGCTATGCTATTGAAAATCAATTAATCATCAATTGCACATCAATAAAAACCATATCGTTCGATCGCTCCTTTATTCTATGCAGCGAATTCACGTGAGATGCGCAACAAAACAACCAACAAAGCGCAACAAGAGGTACGTAATCTACGGAACATTGCCGCTCAGCTGGACGCTATTTTTCCCAGCTTGTTTGATGATCGAGTTAGTGCACCTCGCAATGGTGGCCAGCAACAGCAACAACAGTATCGATGTGACACTACGCAACGCAACAATATTTGACTCATTGATGGACTGATTGTTTTCCTTTCATACATCAAAAGGGAATGCATTCATTTTCTTCTCTGAAGAAATTTTATACTATATTATATATAATATTATATATACACACACACACACACACACATAAACAAGAGAATTTTAGCACCGAGTGATATTTGTTGTAGATATATTTACATGTATAATGTATATTTTGAAAGTTACGGATAATATTCGTAGTTTACCCAAATTGTATGACTTTTGTAAAAATTTGTTACATTAAAGCAATAAACTAAATTCAGATTTAATGTTAAGTCAAACACCATTCATACCGTCAGTTTATTATTCAATAACGTGTGGATTAATAATCACTGAAAATTCATCAAGTAATAGCAACGAATCAACACGATTAAAAATTAAAATTAACGTTAATTCACATTATTACACGCTAATTAACACTTAGATTTAATTTTGTTCTCGCAGTTATTTACATCTTAGCACTAATGAAATTTGGATTGTCGTGACCGCATAATTAGCTTTTCTTTGCGCGTTTTTTTATACATTTTCGCAATCATATATTACGGTGGGACAGCCAATGATTTTTAACTCTAATTGCGTGATAAACTAAATGATTTCGATCTTTCAACTAAATTTAAAAGTAAATAACGATAGATTAATTTCTAATTATTAAAACATTTGTTAGAATTCTTTATCAATCTTCAGGCATTATGCAGTTAAATTTAATTGCAAGGATCAATTGAAAAATAATCAACGTTGATAGATTCACCAAGAGCACTTGTAACTGGTAAATTTCAATCAAAAGCCAACTATATGTTGTAAATACTAGTAAAACATGCCGTTCATATGAACATCAAGACAATGCTACCCTTCCGTTTCCCCATGCGCATTCTCATCAATTCAAACAATAAAACGCGCTGAAACAATGGTCAACGCATCTCGGGAGGAATCGCCCGTTCTGTTGAAGGGACGATAATCGCCCAGCCAAGTGTGAAACATTATGGACTTCTCTTTCTTTTCATAAACGTACGCATCTCGCGCAACCCTTTCGCACATGATAGTATCTTCGTTTTATTAGTTTTGATTGTGCGGCTTATAATGGCACCCCTGCTGATTTGCGTATCGGCTAGTTTATTGTCACAAAGGACGTTTAGTTAGATTAGCTTTGATTTATGCGGGCTGATATTAAAGGTTTCGGATCGTTATATTATATCTGTCACTATGTTGATATTGATCTTATTTTAACGCGTGCGGTTATAGTGGATTTTTTTAATCATTTTGTTCCGTGTGTTGGTGCGAATTTGTTTTATGCAATTTACATCATTTAGTTTTCGAATGGCAATATCGCTTTTATAAGCTACTGAAAAACTGCCAAATATACATCAAGCTGATTTGTACGTATATATATATATATATATATATATATATATATATATATATATATATATCATGGGAAAATCAGCAACGTCAAAGTTATTTTTCCATCGAATAAACCTCCGCGATTTTACTCAAAATGTATAAAGGACCAAGCTTCAGATCGACACAATTAATCAAGTAAACTTCTCGCATCCCTCGTACACAATAACAACGCGCGCGCACGTCCGATCGTTCCATAGCTCGACAAAGACACTACTACTACTATATCAGCTCCAAAAAGGACGTCGTCGTCGGTCATCAAAAGCAGCTCTCATAAGCATCCGCTAATGGACTCGCTGCTACTGGGGGTTGAATACATGACAGCTCTTGCATCCTGTGGAAGGAATACCCTTTCTCTCTCTCTCGCTATTGTATGTGTGTGCATGGGGGGGGGGGGGGGGGAGGATCGCGTGTACGTACCTACACGTGTGAGTCGGAAAATATGTGATTCATACACGCGTGTACTGAGTGCGTTCGCTCACGAAGCCTCATAACTATGTACCATCCGACGACATCGCTTGCGGCTGCTATGAAGAATTTAGAGCGTATGTTCTTGTGGCGCACGAGTGCTGCTTGGGAGAAAATGGATGTAGTGCAACAGTAATGGATTTTATATTTTGTTTCATTGTGCCTTTTGGAGATGTTAGCTTTCAAATATTTAATAGGCAATGTTTTTTATATACGGGGCTGGTATCTTGCATGTTTCTATGGATTTCTATTAAATTTATTAAAAAAATTGATTTGATATATTTGTTTCAATTCTTTGACCTACAAAATAAACTAAATAAAAAACTATTAAACATGATGTTGAAAAAAATTTTTTGCTAGCAAGAGCGAAGCTCAAAATTCATTGTTCACCTAATTAAAATCTTCTCCAAGAATAACAGTTAGCTTAATTACATGAAATTAGTACCAAATTTTCAGCTCTACAACTTTTACGATTTCGGTTAGATGACGACAATAGTTTACAAAACCAATATATGCCTTCGATCACGAGGTAATTAAGATTTTTTTACAATCATTTCTAGTTACCAAAGCATATTATGAATAAAAAATATTTTTAATTACACTCTAAAATTTTATTAATCATTTTAATTTGGCCATTGATTGAAACGGTCATTCAAAACTGGCGGGTCTCCGGGACCGTAGACTAGCGCCGCCACGCAGGTATTCATATTTCGGAACTCCGACCGATCTCGTTGACACTCTTCGTAGTCTTCACGATAAAAATTTTAACTTCTTCCTAATATAGTATCTTGAGTTTGAGTTGTCTTGGATATTGAATAAAGTGCGAAAAGTATAAAAATTTAAATAAAGATATTCTTATCTTTCGATGTTCGAATATCTACATTTGAACGTTAAGTCGTTCACTCGGGGGTATCCGACAAATAAAAAAAGAAATGAATGACAAAAAAGCAGAGGAGATAGAAAATCCTCGATGTCGGAATATGAAAGTGTCTTTTGTCGGTGGCAAAAAAAAAAATGAGAAACCCGCCACATCAAACGCCTCGCGTTCAATCAAAGGAAACCTATCTTCGCGTCGACAATGGGCCATTGATAGCTTTGTGCTATTGAGCTAGTGGATGACGAGCGATCCTGCAGAGATATCCCGGACCCTTGGGACGACAACAACGATGCAACTCTCTCTCTCTCTCGATATCTACACACATCCAAAAGCACGAGAAGCAGCTTTATTAAATCTTCGAGAAGTGCATACTGCAAGAGCGATCGCTTTATATACGATCGTTTATACCATCCATTTGATGGAGTACGTAAAAGCAATCGATATATTGAGATTCGCTTTTTTCGTTTGCGGTAATATCAAAGTGTGAGCATTGCTTGGCAAATTGAAGTAGCGTTGGAATTGATTTTTTTAAATACAGTTGTACTTGACACTTTCTGAACATTAAATTAATAAATTATTATAATTGCTAATCTATAAATCTTATTCATGGAAGATGTTATTAAGCAACACCTCTACTAACTAACGATTGTCGCGCATCGTGATTTCGTGCACTATGAATTTAATAAAAATGAAATGTAGTTCTCGAAGATACTTAAAATGAAAATAATCTAGCTATAATTATATTGTTGGATCTACATATATACATGTCAATTTAATGTTGAGTAGGTACAGCCAATCCAAAGTTAATTGAGATCTGAAAACGTTGCGCTTATTGTGAGATATATCATCTAATATATCAGAAGCTCTATTATAAAATGTATTAGATATGGTTAAATATTATTAAAGACTTTCAAATAATAGATTTTAATTCATGTTCCAAAAATATTTAGAACGATCCATTAAACTGATATTTAACTCATCTTTTATCTCTGCAAATAGCACGACGTAGACTACCTGGTCTTGACTGATTTTATAGTCTTAAAAGCTTACTTAATTAGAGACCCAATAAACCAACTTGCCTTTTCGCGCAGACATTGTAA